GGTGAAGGGTTATGGACAATTAACAAGAATGGACTATGGTGATACCTTTGCATCTGTAGCAAGAGATGACACTATCAAACTATTGGTGGCCTTAGTAGTAAAGCTAAATTAGAGGCTATATAATTTAGCATTTAATGTATCAAATTAAAGTGTGAGCTTGATTTTATATGCAGAGACAAAAAAATATAATTTTTGATATGTAAAATTAAAAATAATGAAAATTTAAAATTATAAATAAACAGTTATGGTCTCAAAATCATATATTAGCATTTTTTTTATTCTGTTATTCTATCACCAGAAAATAGAGCGTGAAAACTCCAAAAGACTAATGTATTGATTTAGAAGATTTAATGCAGGACGTGCAGATTTTTTCTGTTATGGATTCAGGTATGCTTCTATTTACAGATCTAATCTTAATTATTCAATATGAATATATTTATATTTAGTTCTAGTTTATTTTGAAATCTTTACACAACTTTTTTAAATGGTCTCTTGTAGAAGGAGATTTTCATTGAACAACCTCGGGATTTGTTGTTGAAGGAAAGACTGATATGGTATACAAGTTGAAGAAAGTCCTGTATGGCCTCAAGTAGGCAACTTGAGCTTGGTATAGCAGAATTGACACTCATCTAATCAATAATAGTTTTAAAGGAAGTGAAAGTGAGGCTATTTTATATGCGAAAGGCATTGAAAGTGAAAAATAACTTGTGGTTTTGATCTATGTTGATGATATACTTGTGGCTGGTAATAGCCCTTGTTTAATTCAGGAATTCAAACATATTGTGATTAAGGAATTTGAGATATCTAATTTGGAGGAGATTTCTTACTTCTTTGGAATAAAACTTAAGGAAGTTGATAATTCAATCTTTATTTCCCAAAAGACATATGTTTAGGATATACTTAAAAAATTTAAGATGAAAAACTACAAATCAACAAAAACTCCATTGGTTGTGAATGAGAAGCTTTTGAAAGAAGAAAAAACAGAGAAAGTTTGTTTTACTTGACAGCAACAATGCCAAATATTATGTTTTCAGCAAGTTTGCTATCTCGATTCATGCATTCCCCAAATAATAAGCATATGAATGTAGCTAAAAAGGTGTTGAGCTACTTGAGAGGAACAATCAACTGTGGAATTCTTTTTTCAAAAGTTACAAGTGGGGAATTAATTGGCTTTTAAAATAGTGACTGAGTAGGAAGTGTTGATGACTGTAAAAGCATCTCATGTTTTACATTTTCTTTTGGTTCTGGTGTGTTTACTTGGAGTTCAAAGAAGTTGTGAGTGGGGAATTAATTGGCTTTTAAAATAGTGACTAGGCAGGAAGTGTTGATGACTGTAAAAGCACCTCATGTTTTACATTTTTTTCTGGGTTTTGGTGTGTTTACTTGGAGTTCAAAGAAGTAGGAGATCATAGCTCAATCCACAGCAGAGGCTGAATATATTGCAACTGCTGGAGTAGCCAATCGTGCAATTTGGTTGAGAAAAATTTTGCGAGAACTTGACATATCTCAACCTCACCCAACTCTCATCCATGTGGACAACAAATCAACAATAACAATTGCAAATAATTCTGTCCAATGTGGGAGAACTAAACACATCAAAGTCAAACAACATTTCCTAAGGGAAGGAGAGAAAAATGAAGAAATTCATTTAGTTCATTGTTCTTCTGAAGAGGGGATTACTGATATACCAATGCATTTTCAAGAGGCAAATTTAAAAATTCCAGATCAAAGTCAAGTGTTTAAAGAAAAATTTGAGGAGTGTTAACTTATGAGTCTTTTTTTAAATAAAGATTGATGCAGATCTCCATAAAATTTAATTCAACTTGTTAAAAATATGCAAAAAAATTAAAACAAGTATTAGAAATATGTAGATCTATATTGAATCAACACAAATCATTAGAATTTTTTTTTTTGGAAGTTGTATAATCAATAAATCTGATTTAATGTTTATGTTAACTATCCTAAGTTTATTTTCTATTTAAGGAGTTGAATGTATACTAAAAATATAGATAAAATCAATCAAAAAATTTCCAACAACTTCTCATTCTTTCTTCCTTGTACTCTGCTTTTTATTTTTCTAAACTTTCTCAACTTCTCTCTCAATTTTTTTACAAGCCTCAACAGAATAGAATATTCCTACACTTAATAAACATTGTAATAAATTTGTGTGGTCAATTTAAAACTAGTCGAGAAACATTTAGTTGAAAAATATTTTACATAATATAATTCAAACAAAATTTACTTAAGAATAACTTTTAAAAATTAAGTCTAACTGAGTTAATTATATTTGAAAAAGACGATTAAACAATTGAAAATTCTATCATTCCATGCATAACAATAATTAAACTCATTTTTTCCGTCATTCATTACAATTTGAGATGAGGTGAAGTTGAATCCCCAACACGTAATGATAATTAGAATTAATTCTTACAAGAACACTATTAATATGGCATTAATACTTATTTATTTTATATTTTTCTTCAAACTAAAATCGATTCCCTTAACTTTCAGTCCTCGAAAGCAAATAGGAATATAATTATAATAAATACAAAATTTAATAAATCATTGTAAATCAAAATTTTTCATTACTACATTATTTTAACGATTAGTACATTTGCTATATATGCATCTTGGTCGCTGTCACATATATACCTAATAAATAAAGAAAATCTAGCTATTAATTATTTTGGTAGCAAATTTTAAACCATGCAGATTTTTAAAGAATGGAATAAATTTATATAATGTATGGGATAATTATAAGGTAGATTTTGGCTGTGGATAGGATAGAACTTTGACTGTTCACATTCTTTCTCGTTTTGTTTACATTGTTGTAACTTTCAAGCCAAGAATAAAGATCCCTGCCACCATCATGATGCCATTTGCATTATTGCAGATTTTTCCAAAATAACAATTGCAAACATGAGGAGATTAGAATGGACAGAAGATGACAATTGCACATCATGACCTTACTTCAATCTATCCTATGCTACAACAAATGATCTCCATATATATGCACATAATGTAAGAATTGTAAGTATTATAACAATTGCAGATCAGGACCTTACTTCAAGTACTAACCATTATACTAGAAAACTAAACATATAAAGGTCATTAAAGGATATGAAAAATATGATGAAAACACTGTAGTTTAAACACCCAAAAACCTTTCCGCTGTGGGGCTTTAAATTTGCAATGACAATGAACAAAAGTACCGCTATAATAGACGTTGGAATTTTTGCATGGAGACAGTCCAAAGAACTAGAAAAAATTCCATGTTCTCAAGATTAGATATCAAAATTTCATTAAGTTAATAGTGAATCTCTAGGGTTGGAACAATGGAAAGTATTTTGAAATAGTCAATAATGACTTCATGAATAGAGAAATTGAACGGATCAATTACAAGTTTTAAGGAAGGAGACGGGGGAAAAAGGGTTTCTTCTTACTTGAAGGTGTAGGTGACGAAATAATGGAAGGAAGGAAAGAAAGAAGAAGAAGGGGTTTTAGTAATTTGGTCAAAGCCATTATCATGTTAGTGTATCGTTTAATATTGGATTAGACAGTCGTTTGTGATGAGAACCTATTTTAAGAAATTTTGAATAATAGAATCAATTTAGATAAAGAAGAATATTATAGGGGCTCATTTTAAAACTTTAAAATTGTATACG